CAGATGGATCGAAAAAACTGGAACTGACTTCCGCATGAATCAGATACATGATGTATGTCAAGTAAGGCAACAGCAGCACTTCTCCGCTCCATGGGATATTACCCCATTCCAAATTACCATTCCTCCATTTCCCCCCCTCCCCCCAAGTACTACGTAAATCACAACCAAAGCTTTGCACTGAAGCCAAACATGATGCCTTAAGCTGTATTGATGATTTAGTCACACAGCATACACACTCACAAATTATTTAGATTGATGGCTCTGTTCACCAAACCACTGGTGCATAGTGCTGCTGTTGCCATACAGAGTGATGGCTCTCTTAAAGAAGTTGGAGCATGCATCAATAATTGGGCCTCTACCCTTCAGACAGAACTGTTTGCCATACTCCTTGCACTGAAATGCATCCATGTATCTAAGGTTGACACTTTAATTGTAACTGATTCTCTGTCATCCATAAATGTTCTCAACTCATTAAGTATAAATTGTGGCATGCTCGTGTCAGAAGCCAGACACAGGTATGGTAGGATTGTCTACAGTGGAGTCAGAGTGCACATGCTGTGGATTCCATCTCACATTGGTCTTCGGATACATGATAGAACTGATAAATTGGCTATGCTGTATGCTTTCCAAGAGGGGGTAGATTACAATCTTGGCTTGTCAGGTAGCAGTTTGAGAACAATAATACGAAAAGAACTTCAACTGAATTTTATTGACTTAAGACTCGGGGAGATTGACACCAGTCAGTCCATCTATCATCACATGTTTATGGTGCATCCAACAAGATAAGCCAACTCTTGGATGTCACTACTGCCTGGCCCCAGCTGGGTTACAAGTACATGTATCTTTGGCAGGTTAAATCACCACCACCAGATGTAGATCAAACGAAATGCAAACTTTGCCAGATGGACTATTGTCACACCCTGCGTCATTATGTATTGGAGTGTGATAAAATTAATGAACTTAGAGACAACTCAGAAATGTTCAAGATATGTCTAAGTATTTTATCCACAGTAGTAAATTACAGACCATTCTGGAAAAATACCCTGACTTTGCTCCATGTAAATAAAGCATTACCACATTGTGTGTGTGTGTGTGTGTGTGCGTCTGTCTGTCTGTCTGTGTATGTGTGTTTGCATGTGTATTTGTGTACTCGTATATGTGTGAGTGCTTGTACTCGTGTGTGTATGTACACTCGTGTGTGTGTGTGTGTGTGTGTGTGTGTGTGTGTGTGTGTGTGTGTGTGTGTACTCGCCTATTTGTGTGTGTGTGTGTACTCACCTATTTGTGTGTGTGTGTGTGTGTGTGTGTGTGTGAGAGAGACTCAACAATCAATATTTGTGCCAATAACTCATTACAGTTGTGACTGGGTGTGGATGTGTGAATTGTTCATTACTCTGTAATTTGTTCATGATTGTAGCCATGTATAAACGTAAGAAAGTAAATTTACTTACAGGATTCTTTACCTTTGTGACTTGAGTTCGTTACCTTTGCACCTAGTTCAGCTATCAAAACTTTGGGGGCCCAGTCTCTGGACCCATTATGTACCTCTGTAATCTGTAAATACCTTTGTAACTTGTCATGATTGTGACCAGATCTACCTGGAGTTCATTATCTTTGTAACTTGCTCAGCTATCAAAACTTTGGGGCCCAGTCCCTGGACTCATTATGTACCTCTGTAATCTTTTGACTACTGCCCACAGGATGGGTATGGGGTGCATAATAAATATATTAAACTAACTAACACATTTACAGTCCTCCAGAGCAATTTATTATTATTATAAATTATTATTCTTAGTATATTATAAATTATTATTATAAATTATTATTATTATTATTATTACCATCGACATACCTTGCTCACTGAATTTAATCCTTTCTTAAGATACCATGAGACAGAGAGCATAGCATATGACTCAGAAAAAAAATCGGGGAAAACATGCTATTTTTTTTTTTGCATTTTTTCTTATGATAAGAGTGATCTAGGGGTGTTTACCCTAATGTTAACACCGTTAACATTAGGGTAAACACCCCTAGATCTAGGGGTAAACACCCCTAGATCGTTATAGACCAGAGGTACAGAGGAGAGAACAGCAGCCTCCACCCTTACACCTCACATAATATGGCATATATTGCAATGAAATCATGAAACACATAGCTCTGTGCAGTGTGCTTGATTCTTGTAGGATTGGTGGCTGAATGGTAAAGGTGATGCATATTTTGTGTTGTCTCACGAGGTGGTACAACGTTTGTAGGGTCGAGTCCTGACCTGCCGCAATTTGGTAAATGAATTAGAAATCACTTGTTTCGTGATTTCATTGCTAAATAGACTGCTTGTTGAGGTGGGTATTCAAACAGGCGGAGGCTGAAATTAATCCTCAAGATACCACTGCCACGAGTGTCCTCGGACCAAGGTAAAAGAATACATAGCTCAGTGCTGTGTGCTTGGTTCTTGTAGGATCGATGGCTGAGTAGTAAAGGTGATGCGTATGTTGTGTTGTCTCACGAGGCGGTACAACGCTCATAGGGCCGAGTCCTGACCTGCTGCAGTTTGGTAAATGGCATATATTATTCATTTCAGCATTTTTATTACAGTTCTAGGGTATTTATCATGTTTCTGATATCAATTTGCAATACATGTGATAGATAACCTTTATTGCTAATTACACATTTTATTAGTGCCATGGCTAACACCCAACACCCATGACAATTCACTAGATACTGAATGCTATTGCTTGCCTCTCCGTTCTTCGAATAGCTCCTCCCACTCCATAATGATGTTAGATGGTGAGTGTGATGTATTAGACAGAAAAATTAAAAGAAAATAAAAAAAAATCAGAAAAAAAATCTGAAAATTCACTACATGTTCAGATATGTATTACTCTCTGCGTCATAAAAATAATTTTTGTAAAATGACTATAATTCTTTGTAGCAACATGGTTCAAAGTTAATATTTATACTAAAATGTTGCCAGATTAAGCTATTTTTCTGTGAGCTTAACTCGTTGTATGTGTATTTTGTATTGTTTTCTGTAATATGTAAGAGTTATGCAAATTAAATTACAGTTATCAAGTTGTAGTTTCATTTTTATTTTATTGTTTCTTTCTAATGCAGTGGAACCTTGGCTTATGAAAGCCCCACGATGCAAATTTTCCAGTCATTTGGTCGATTTTTCACATCTGGATACGGACGAAATTTCAGGGTGTGAAATTCCCCCTCATGGAAGGTTCCTTGGTGAGGGGCTTTTGATCTAGAGAATTGAATCTGTGCTCCAGTTCCCTAAATTAATACTAATAATTTGTAATTATTATTTTTACAATAATACATACTAATACTAATAATAATAATAATATTTAAATATAATGTAATATAATGGTGTTCACTCATTACTTACCTTAAGAGTGTAACAATTAAGTGATTAAGTGATAGAAAAAGGACAAAACGAAATAAACTCCTGATAGTATACGCCGCTCTGCCTATCTTCTGTAAGGTATGTAAATGGTGTACGTACACCAGTTCATTTCTGCATTATGGTTTTCTTATGAAAGACGTGATATAATGCAGCTAGCCTCACAAAGTCCGTTTTCTCTTGTACTAACATATCTGAAAGAGGAAAGAATGGGAAGATGTTTTCATAGATGGAGCGAGAATGCCCATGACCACCGTCTTCCCTCCCCCCCACCACCACATACATATTTTCTTCTTGATGATTCGCCTGTACTTCCAGCCCGGGTCCTCTCCAGATGGTGACCCGGCGATAAATATTTTATTCAGTCTAGAGTGTATATCAGGTTTTTATGTTATTTATATTGTTTATTTTGTCATATCAGATGAATTTTTTTAGATAAATAAGCTGTAGAGCTGATATTAGCGTCATATTGAAGTACTATTTTGTCATGCTTCCTGATGGCAGGAATTCCCCTGGAGTGAATTAACGGCATTTCAATTAATTTAAATGAGGAAAATTAACCCAGCATACGAACAAATCAGGATACAAACATGGTCATGGAATGGATTAAATTTGTAAGCAGAGGTTCCACTGTATACATATTTAATTCACCATTTGGCATGGTTACAAAGTGGGCAGAGCTAGATATAGCAGAGGGAGAAAAGCGAGCAGTGTCTCAGTAACTGATGCCTCACCATGTTACAAGATGTGCCTTACCCCACTATAAAATATTGTATAATTACACTATTACTATCAATAAAGGTTATCTACCTATCATATTTATTCCAGAATAATATTAGGTATAACATACATAATGTAGAAGCATGATAAAAATGCCCAAGTTAATAAAAACTAACATTATATAGAGAGGTATTGAAGGGTGGAGGGCGGGAAGGGATAAAAAAAAAAGTGACCGCGACCATTACAGAAAACGTTACATGCCTGAAGGGTAACTATAGAATATCACTCTTACCCTATGCAAAGACTGAAAAAGGTGCAATTTTCTCGAAAAAAAAAATTCCAAGTATAATCAGATATGCACTAGTTTCCTGGAATATCTCGGAAGTAAGTCATTGACCCACCATTTAATCTGCGTGCTAAAAGTTATTATCCAACCTGAATTCATTTTGAAGCCCAGCCCTATTTAAAGTATACTTCTCCTTTCCCCCTCCTCCAAGGGATGTAACCCACAGCAGTTCATAAGCACTTAGGTATCTAATTATTACTTTGCCTCTCTGACTGTGGTTATGGCCCCTGTGTTTCATTGAGTTTAATCTATATTTCTTAAGGTATTCACTCACTACTTTAAGTTTCTGCAGTACGTACATATACTAGGGGTCTGACCCTTGAGTATTTGCCATAAGCAAGGACTGGTTTCGAAGGTTCAGCCTTACAGCCAAGCCTGAGGGATGTACTTTACCTGTACACCTTCCTTGCTGACTGCTCAATCAGCCTGACTGTAGGCTGCTAGCAGCCTAGTAGTGTTATAAAGTTGGTAGTAGTGTTATCAAATTTCAAATGTTAATTAAAAAAAACTTTTGTTTATGCTCTACAGATTTGGTGATATGAACACACTTGATTATGAGTATGAAATGCGCTGGAATCGACTTTTTGAAATGTATAAGAAGAGAAAAATGATGTTGGAGTCAGAGGTACAGAGTGAGGTTGAACAGATGGAAAGAAAGTTAGCTATGTTACGAGAAGAATATGAGGCAGAAAAACTTAAAAGAGGTAAGGTATTTTTTTTTATGTCATGAAAATAAGAAAATAAAAAATTTTGGAGTTAGATAAACAAGTTAAGAAAGCCTAGGGAACGAATGGATTTGTCAGTTAAAAACAGAGTAGGGGAGCTAGTAGATGGGGACCTGGAGATATTGGGTAAATGGTGGGAAAATTTTGAGGAACTTTTAAGTGTCGATGAAAAAGGGGAGGCAGTAATTTCATGCACTGGTCAGGGAGGTGTAACATCTTTTAAGAGTGAAGAAGAGCAGGATGTGAGTGTGGGGGAGGTGCATGAGGCATTATGTAGAATTAAAGGGGGTAAAGCATCTAGAACTGAGGGGATCATGACAGAAATGTTAAAACTGGGTGGGGGGGATATGTGTTGGAGTGGTTGATATTTTTGTTAATAATAATTGTATGAAAGAGGGAAGGTACCTAGGGATTGGCAAAGAGCATGTATAGTTCCTTTATATAAAAGGAAAAGGGATTGTAAAAATTATAGGGGAATAAGTTTACTGAGTATACCGGTAAAGTGTATGGTAGGGTTATTGAAAGAATTAGAGGTAAGACAGAATGTAGGATTGCAGATGAGCAAGGAGGCTTTAGAGTGGGTAGGGGATGTGTAGATCAAGTGTTTACATTGAAGCATATATGTGAACAGTATTTAGATAAAGGTAGGGAAGTTTTCATTGCATTTATGGATTTAGAAGTCATATGAGAGAGTGGATAGGGGAGCAATGTTGCAAGTGTATGGAATAGGTAGTAAGTTACTAAATACTCTAAAGTTTTTTTTATGAGGATAGTGAGGCTCAGGTTAGGGTATGTAGGAGAGAGGGAGATTACTTCCTGGTAAAAGTAGGTCTTAGATTGGGATGTGTAACGTCACCATGGTTGTTTAATATATTTATAGATGGGGTTGTAAAAGAAGTAAATGTTAGGGTGTTGGAGAGAGGGGTTGGATGAAATTATGGGGAATCAAGTACAGAATGGGAGTTGTTACTTTTTGCTGATGATATTGTGCTTATGGGAGATTCTAAAGTTGCGAAGGTTAGTGGACGAGTTTGGGAGGGTGTGTAAAGGTAGAAAGTTGAGAGTGAACGTAGATAAGAGTAAGGTCATGAGGGTATCAAACGATGTAGATAAAGAAAAATTGGATATCACATTGAAGAGAGGGAGTTTGGAAGAAGTGAATGTTTTCAGATATTTGGGAGTTGACTTGTCAGTGGATGGGTTTATGAAGGATGAGGTTAACCTTAAAATTGATGAAGAAAAAAAGGCAAGTGGTGCGTTGAGGTATCTGTGTAGACAAAAAAACGTTATCTATGGAGGCAAAGAAGGGAATGTATGAAAGTATAGTGCTACCAACACTCTTATATGGGTGTGAAGTTTTGGTTGTAAATGCTGCAGCGAGGAGGCGGCTGGAAGCAGTGGAGATGTCCTGTCTACGGGCAATGTGTGGTGTAAATATTATGCAGAGAATTCAGAGTGAGGAAATTAGGAGGAGGTGTGGAGTTACTAAAAGTGTTAGTCAGAGGGCTGAAGAGGGGTTGTTGAGGTGTTATGGTCATTTAGAGAGAATGGATCAAAGTAGAATGACTTGGAGAGCATATAAATCTGTAGGGGAAGGAAGGAAGGGTAGGGGTCGTCCTTGAAAAGGTTGGAGGGATGGGGTAAAGGTTTTGTGGGCAAGGGGTTTGGACTTCCATCAAGCGTGTGTGAGCGTGTTAGATAAGAGTGAATGAAGATGAATGGTTTTTGGGACCTTACGAGCTGTTGGCGTGTGAGCAGGGTAATAATTAGTGAAGAGATTTAGGGAAACCGGTTAGCTGAACTTGAGTCCTGGAAATGGGAAGTACAATGCCTGCACATACTGACAGTTTGGAGGGACTTCTAAACTGTCGTATCTGAGTGCCTCTGCAAAGACAGTGATTATGTGTGAGTGAGGTGAAAGTGTTGAATGATGATGAAAGTATTTTCTTTTTGGGGATTTTTTCTTTTTGGGTCACCCTGCCATGGTAGGAGATTACCTGGAGAGTTTACCTGGAGAGAGTTCCGGGGGTCAACGCCCCCGCGGCCCGGTCTGTGACCAGGAGATGGCCGACTTGTTGAAAAAAAAAATACTATTTATATAGTTCTGTAGATTATCAGTTGTTCAACTTTTAATATTGTCCACCTAAAGACGTAGAATTAGGGGGGATATGATTGAGGTGTATAAATGGAAGACAGGAATAAATAAAGGGGATGTAAATAGTGTGCTGAAAATATCTAGCCTAGACAGGACTCGCAGCAATGGTTTTAAGTTGGAAAAATTCAGATTCAGGAAGGATATAGGAAAGTACTGGTTTGGTAATAGAGTTGTGGATGAGTGGAACAAACTCCCAAATACCGTTATAGAGGCCAGAACGTTGTGTAGCTTTAAAAATAGGTTGGATAAATACATGAGTAGATGTGGGTGGGTGTGAGTTAGACCTGATAGCTTGTGCTACCAGGTCGGTTGCCGTGTTCCTCCCTTAAGTCAATGTGACCTGACCTGACGAGGTTGGGTGCATTGGCTTAAGCCGGTAGGAGACTTGGACCTGCCTTGCATGGGCCAGTAGGCCTTCTGCAGTGTTCCTTCGTTCTTATGTTCTTATGTTCTTAAAGAAGTGGTAATACTGAAGAAGGATCTGCAGCCAAAAGGGATAATAAAAATATGGAATCGTCTGGTGAGGAAAATTCGGCATGACCTTCTACCTAGGAGGCTGGGCAACTGATGTTTCAGTGGATTTGATTATTCAGTAGTTTTTTGCAGTTCCCATTTTTTTCAACCTTGGCACGCTGCCCTTAAATTTAAAACTAAGATTTTTTTTTTTTTTTTTACTTTGTTCTCAATTGTTCAGTTACAGAGATATGGTCTCTGAAACTGAATGTGAAACCAAATCTGAAATAAAAAAGTTTATGCAGACATAATTTTGTATTATTTGTGTATTTTAGTTTGTGAAACTTTTAGGAATGTGGCCCTCCACAGATTTGTAGGGACAACGGTATGTGAAAAATTGACAGAACAGAAAATTCCTCAGGTCAACTTACCTCAGTGGGAGATGGCTGTTAAAAAAAAAAAAAATCTTCAGAGAAACTAAACTTAGGAATCTAAGTTGGCACATTTTATTGGTTGTGAAGTGGCATCTAAGAAATGTGGAAAGTGGCATGTCAAAGTACTTACCACACTATATACAGATACATCACTGTAGATACCATGAGAATGTGCAGTTACATTTCACTTTGCAATACTGAGTGCTGATGAAAGCTAGCTAGGCTATAAATGCCACAGCATTTCCTCTTTAAGCTGTTTAGATAGAGACATTTTCTAAAATTTAGGCATCTGAGGGTTTTGTGCAAGTAGAGGTTCCACTGTACTTAGATAAAGGTATGGAAGTTTTTATTGCATTTATGTATTTAGAAAAGGCATATGATAGAATGGATAGGGGAGCAATGTGGCAGATGTTGCAAGTATATGGAATACATGGTAAGTTACTAAATGCTGTAAAGAGTTTTTATGAGGATAGTGAGGCTCGGGTTAGGGTGTGTAGAAGAGAGGGAGACTACTTCCCAGTAAAAGTAGGTCTTAGACAGGGATGTGTAATTGTCACCATGGTTGTTTAATATATTTATAGATGGGGTTGTAAAAGAAGTAAATGCTAGGGTGTTCGGGAGAGGGGTGGGATTAAATTATGGGGAATCATATACAAAATGGGAATTGACACAGTTACTTTTTGCTGATGATACTGTGCTTATGGGAGATTCTAAAGAAAAATTACGAAGGTTAGTGGACGAGTTTGGGAGTGTGTGTAAAGGTAGAAATTTGAAAGTGAACATAGAAAAGAGTAAGGTGATGAGGGTATCAAATGATTTAGATAAAGAAAAATTGGATATCAAATTGGGGAGGAGGAGTATGGAAGAAGTGAATGTTTTCAGATACTTGGGAGTTGACGTATCGGCGGATGCATTTATGAAGGATGAGGTTAATCATTGAATCGATGAGGGAAAAAAGTGGCACGTTGAGGTATATGTGGAGACAAAAAACGTTATCTATGGAGGCAAAGAAGGGAATGTATGAAAGTAAAGTAGTACCAAGAGGGGTTGTTGAGGTGGTTTGGTCATTTAGAGAGAATAGATCAAAGTAGAATGACATGGAGAGCGTATAAATCTGTAGGGGAAGGAAGGCAGGGTAGGGGTCATCCTCGAAAATGTTGGAAGGAAGGGGTAAAGGAGGTTTTGTGGGCGAGGGGCTTGGACTTCCAGCAAGTGTACGTGAGCGTGTTCGATAGGAGTGAATAGAGACGAATGGTATTTGGGACCTGACAAGCTGTTGGAGTGTGAGCAGGGCAATATTTAGTGAAGGGATTCAGGGAAACTGGTTATTTTTATATAGCCAGACTTGAGTCCTGGAAATGGGAAGTACAATGCCTGCACTCGAAAGGAGGGGTTTGGGGTATTGGCGGTTTGGAGGGATATGTTGCGTATCTTTATACGTATATGCTTCTAAACTGTTGTATTCTGGGCACCTCTGCAAAAACATTGATTATGTGTGAGTGAGGTGAAAATGTTGAATGATGAAAGTATTTTCTTTTTGGGGATTTTCTTTCTTTTTGGGCCACCCTGCCTTGGTGGGAGACGGCTGACTTGTTAAAAGAAAAAAAAATCTAGCAGCTTTAGATCAAGCAGGAGAAAGCTGGTAGGCCCAGATGTGAGAGAATGGTCTGTGTGATCAGTGTGCACTGGATAAAAAAAAACCAGCAGCACACAGTGCATAATGAGAGAAAAAAAAAACTCCGACCGTGTTTTTGGATTAAAACACTGACTGAGGTGTATTTTCCTATAGTATTTAGGGTTGTATTCTCGTTTTTTTGGTCTCATTTGATAGAATGGAAGACATATTACAGAAATGGAGATGATTTTGATTAGTTACATGATGAAAACGACCTTGAAATTGAGCTCAAATTAGCGGAAATGTTCGATTTTTACCAATGTTCAAGAGTAAGCAAATCACACCACACGTCCAATACACATCACTTTGGGAGTCTAATATTCTTTCACTAGTGCACTGATATTATTTATTTCATTTTTACAATAATGCAGTAGTCTGCATAACAGTAAATTTTAAATTTTTTGTGTGAATAAAAAATCAAAATAGAGTAATATAAGAGGGGCCTGGAGTCGTGACTAATGAACAGAGGATATGTTATTTTAGTGCCAAGAATGTCTGCATTGTTTATTCTGGACCCTATATTGAAATTTGCATAATTTTTAATTTTTGTGAAATTGGCCAAATTGCCAATTTCTGACCACTTTATTGGTTAGTTGAAATTGGTAAATGGGCAGTTTCTTGTACTCAATTGATAGAAAAAAAATGGAGTTCTAAAGAAATAGCTGAGTTTGATCGACAGGAACAATGGAATTGGCCGAAAATAGGGCTCAAAGTCGGCGAAATCGCAGATGCATATATATATCACCGAGATCGCTAACTTCGCAGGAGCGTAATTCCATAAGTTTTCTATCAAATTTCATACTTTTGGTGTCATTGCCATCGGGAAAAGATTCTCTATCATTTCATAAGATTTTTTTTTTTTTTTTTTTTTTTTCTCGACACTAGGAGACACTTCAGGATTTGGGATTGTGACAGTCAAAGGGTTAAAAGCATTAAAGAGCTTTTATGTGGATAGCAAAACTTAGGTTAGGGTATGTAGGAGAGGGGAATTATTTTCTAGTAAAAGTTCACCTTAGAGAGGGATGTATGATGTCACCATGGTTGTTTAACACATTTATAGATGGAGCTGTAAAAGAAGTGAACGTTGGAGTGTTGGGAAGAGGTGTGTGATAAAAAGATAACAAATCTGATGCAAAGTGAGAGGTGTCACAATTGTTTTTTGCCGATGCACTGTTCGTTTGGGAGATTCCAAAGAGAAATTGCAAAGGATGGTAGACAAATTTGGGAAGACATAAAAAAAGATGGAAATTAAAGGTAAACATAGGAATGAGCAAGATAATGATAGGAAATGAAAGATTGAATATCAGATTGTAGGGAGGGTGTATGAAGTGAATATCAGATTGTAAGGAGGATGTAGGATTGAATATCAGATTGGAGGGATGATGTATGGAAGAAATACGGTAAATGTGTTTAGATATCTAGGAGAGTCCTTGTTGTCGGATGGGTTCACGAAAGATGAAGTGAACCATAGAAATGATGACAGAAAACAGGTGGGTAGTGCATTGAGGCATCTGTGGAGGAAAAATAACCTTATCCATGGATGCAAAAAGGAAAATGTACCAGAGGTTAGTGGTACCAATATAGGTGAGAAATATGGGTTTTTAACCCTTTGAGGGTCGACAGGCCCTCTCCCGAGACTCGTTCTCAGGGTCGGCCAAATTTAAAAAATAAAAAATAAAAATAATTTTTTCTTATGAAAAGATAGAGAATCTTTTCCCGGTCATAATGACACCAAAATTATGAAATTTGATGGAAAACTTACGGAATTATGCTCTCGCAAAGTTAGCGGTCTCGGCAATGTTTACGCATCGGCGATTTTGCCCACTTTGAGCCCCATTTTCGGCCAATTCCCCTGCACTAGTCGACAAAAAACATGAATATTTCGCTAGAACTCCATTTTTTCTATCGAATGAGTGCAAGAAACCACCCATTTACCAATTTCAACTATCCAGTACGGTGGTCAGAATTTAGCAATTTTGCCAATTTCACACAAATTTCAAAAAATGCCAATTTCCGAATAGGGTCCAGAATAAACAAGAAAGACATTCCTGGCACTAAAATGACATTTCCTTTGTTCATTAGTCACGTCTCAAGGCCCTTCTTACATTCTTTTGCTTTCCACTTTGAATTTTTATTCTCACAAAAAATAGAAGATTTACTGTTATGCAGACTACTTCATTAGTGTAAAAAATGGTATAAATAATATTGGCGCACTTGCAAAAGAATATTAGACTCACCAGTTGACATGTATTGGACGCTTGGCATGATTTGTTTACTTTTGAACTTTGGAAAAAATTGAACATTTCTGCTACATTGAGCTCAATTTCAAGGTACTTTTAATTGTAAAACCAGTCAAAATCATCTCAATTTCTGTAATATGTCTTCCATTCTATAAAATGAGATCAAGAAAACTAGAATACAACAATAAATACCATACGAAAATACAGTGCAAAGTCGCTGTTTTATTCCAAAAAAACGGTCAAAGTTTTTTTTTTTTCTCATTATGCACTGTGTGCTGCAGGATTTTTTTTGTACTGTGCACACTGGCCACATAGACCCATTCTTTCATATGTAGGCCTACCAGCTTTCTCCCACTAGATTTGAGGGCACTAGAATTTAGGCGTACTAGCACGTCAAAAACCCTGGGTCATAAGCCGTACTAGTACGGCCGAAACCCTCAAAGGGTTAATTGTTGCAACAAGAAGGCTAGAGACATTGAAGATATCATGTTCGGGGGCAATGTGTAGTGTGAATATTATGCAGAGAATTAGGTGTGGGGATTATTCAGAGGATGGAGGAGAAATTGCTGAATTGGTTTGGACATTTAGAGAGGGTGGAGTGAAATAGGATGAATAGGAGAGCCTATAAATCTGGGGTGGAAGATCTTCCCAAGAAGGGTTGGAGGGAGGGGATAAGGAAGTTTCTTGGGTGCTGTGGCTGAGAGTCCAACATCCAATAAGCTTGTGTGAGCATGTTAGATAGGGGTAAGGGAAGGTAAGTGGTTTTTATGATTTGATGTGGTGTTGGAGTGTGAACAAAGTAACATTTGTGAAGGAATTTAAGGGAAACTTGTTACCTGGACTTAAGACAGAAAGTACAATCTGAAGGAGTAGGGATGTTGCAGTTCAGAGAGTCATTTCTGGACTGTGATGTTCAGCACACTCCTGGAAGACAGTGATTGAGTGAATGACCATGAAAGTTTTTCTTTTTTCAGGTCACCCTCCCTCAATGGGAGACAGCCAGTATGTTAAGAAAAAAAGGTGTTTCAGGTTAATTTGTATTCAGAGTGGGATTAAGTATTCTTCCTGTAGCAAATATAAAACAGGTATAAAAATGAAGGAAAAAATCAAGAAAGAGAAACCAATTCCCTAACCATCTCTGCTGTATTCTCTGCTTCTGTCTGTCATCCACCAACTTCCCCTTTAGAATGTGTAACTACAATGTCTTAAAGATGGAAACAGTATAGGGTATAGTTGCTTATAAGTATTTTATACTATACAAAAATTATATTGTTCATTGTTCCAGTTGCTATCATTTTTTTCAGGAATGATGGGACGTAGTAACTCAGTACCAAAAGGAAGTGGCATGTTTGGTCTTCAGGGAGGAACCTGTAATGGAATGGTAAAAATATCATTTGAATTTTTTTGTGAATGTAATGAAAATTTACCAACATTTATATAAAAAAAAATTGTGTGGGGGGAGAGGGAGGGTTCCTTAGGGTTTTGGATAATATTTAAAATAGAACTTTATTAAAATTAAAAAGTGAGAGAAGCACTCTTTACAGAAGAGGAAGACTCACAGAATTTCTCAGGGATCTCACTCTTTCTCAAGAGTGAAAAAAAATACTGGTTAGAGAGATGGAAAACACTTGAATGCATCATACAGAATCCAGGAGAGACAGAGGGAGCAAAAAGCCTATTAATGAAAGGAGATGGAACTTACCAGTACTTACACTGATGATAGAAAAAGAAATGAGCAAAATACTAAAGGCACAGTTTGACTCTGTGTTCAGCAAGCAGTTAATTTGACAAAAGACTGATAAACCAAGTGATTTTTTCATGAATTTAGATCCAAAACTGCCATCTTTAAAATTTATGGCATAACCTTATTCCTTCTTGACTTTGAAGAAGACACTGATAGTATGCCCATGTACTCTACCCCTAAATCAGACTTGCAAAACTCCATATTAATAAAAATTGCAAAAAAAAAAAAAAATCAGTATCATAAGTATTAAATATCCTGTGGAGACAAATATAACTCTCCACACCAAAGATGGCAGCAAAGCAGTTGCACAGTCTGTCGACTGATTACACTGACATCCCACAATATCTAGTTCTTGGAAAGAGTTTAAGAAATAAAATTGCTAAACATGGAATCACAACACATGCACAACCCAGGGCAACATGGGTTTAGAGCAGGTCACTCAGAACTGCCTCTCACAATTGCTGGGCCATCACAATGGGGTCTTGAGCACACTGGAAGACGGGGGGTAAATGTATGCACAGATTTTGCAAAAGCATCCAACAGGTGTAATAGCACACAAAATGTGTGCATAAGGAATAACTGGAAAAATTGGCAGATTTATTTTTAATTTCCTAACAAATCAAAGAGTAGTAGTCAATAAAGTAAAATCTGAAGCTGCCACAGTGAAGAGTTCTGTTTCTCAAGATTCAGTACTTGCCCCCATTCTCTGTCATACTTAACATACGACATACATGAGCTATGCCATTGTACACTATCATCATTTGCAGATAATACTAGAATTTTATGTAAGAGTAACATCCATTGAGAACACAGCAAGTCTCCAAAGCTGACAGTAACCAGGTCTTCCAGTGGACCACAGAAAACACTATGATGTTTGATGAAGACAACTCTCAATAATTCCACTATGAAAAAATTGAAGAACTTACAACTAGAACTCAAATCATTCAATATAGCTCAACAGAAATGTGAGGAATGAGTAATGATAATATCAGAAGATCTTAAGTTAAAGGATCACAGCAATGTTACTATCACAAATACATGTATAAGGAAAAGCAGCTGTGCAAATTCTTGATCAGCAGAGCTGTGGTGCCTACCCTGGACTACTTGTATGCACTAATATCAACAACCTGATTAATCAGGTTGTTGATGTTGGGGGCCACTGCCCCCATGGATGGTCTGTGACCATCCATGGGGGCAGTGGCCCCCAAACTCATCGTCAGGTAACCTTCAGGTATGGCAGACCCTCCTTAAAAAAGGCTGGACAATGAAGAAGATACTAGACTTTGACATCATTATTTTATGGCTGGGGTCTCCTTTGGTTTATCAGAAAATCAAAGCCTTACAGAATACTTTAACCCTTTGACTGTCGCGGCCGTATATAGTATACGTCTTACGAGGTACCGTGTTTGACATATATATACTCATAAATTCTAGCAGCTTCAAATCAAGCAGGAGAAAGCTGGTAGGCCCACATGTGAGAGAATGGGTCTGTGTGGTCAGTGTGCACCATATAAAAAAAATCCTGGAGCACGCAGTGCATAATGAGAAAAAAAAACTCCGACCATTTTTTTTTTAATTAAAATGCCGACTTTGTGGTCTATTTTCGTATAGTATTTATGGTTGTATTCTCGTTTTCTTGGTCTCATTTGATAGAATGGAAAACATATTATAGATATAGAGGTGATTTTTGATTGATTTTACTATAAAAAGTACCTAGAAATGGAGCTCAAAATAGGGGAAATGTTTGATATTTGCCAATGTTCAAAAGTAAACAAATGATGCCATTGTCCAATAAATGTCCAACTAGTCATTCTAATATGCAGTCATGAATGGATTGATGTTATTTATACAATTATTACAGTATTGGAGTAGTCTGCATAATAGTAAGTCTTCTATTTTTTGTTTGAATAAAAATTCAAAATAGAAAGCAAGAGTAATATCAGAGGGGCCTGGAGACATGACTGATGAGCAAAGAAAATGTTATTTTAGAGCCAGGAATGTCTGCATTGTTCATTCTGGACCTAATTTTGAAATTGTCATATTTTTTAGTTTTCGTGAAATTGGCCAAATAGCAAATTTCTGACCACATTATTAGGTAGTTGAAGTCGGTAAATGGGCAGTTTCTTGTACTCTATCGATAGAAAAAATGGAGTACTAAAGAAATAGCTATGAGTTTGGGTGACTGGAACAATGGAATTAGCCGAAAATAGGCCTCAAAGTGGGCGAAATAGCCGATTTGTAAACAGCGCCGAGGTCGCTAACTTTGCGAGAGCATAATTCCGTCAGTTTTCCATCAAATTTCGTTTTTTTTGTGTCATTAAAATTGGGAAAAGATTTTCTATCATTTCATAAGAAAAAATAATTTTTTTTTTTTTTTTTTTTTTTTTTTTTTTTTTTTTTTTTTTTTTTTTTTTTTTTTTTTGCGACACCAGGAGACACCTCAGGATTGGGGGTTGCGACAGTCAAAGGGTTAAGGCCTCATCACCCAAGGAGCCTTCTACCAATAGTGACCAGATTATTTTATCAGATTCCTTTAATTCTGATCATCAGCAATATAAGGGACTTAGCAGCAAAGACATAAGCTTATGAGATCAGTTGAGACCAATGCACAGCCATTTCTGACACAAAGACCCCATTTCAGTCTTTGAAGAAAGCTTTTTTGAGCCAAAACAGTGGGATTACTCACATCAGGATTAAATGACCTACTCTCTTGGAATCTTAAGATTCCTTATGAAGAGTACCAAGTCCAGGAGTTCTGCATCAGTACCATATACAAGTCCAGTCTTACTGTCACTGTTGACAACTTATGGGTAGTTCTTGTAATTGGCCATGATTGTTGATGATCTAGGTCTGGAAATTTCATTTTGGCAATGTAATGGTATATAAGTAAGCAGGTCTTTTCTCACTTGTTAAAATATAAATTGAATTGCCGTTAGTTGAATATCTGTATTCATCAGTAGACTTGTCAGTGGAAATTTCTGCTGTGAGCAGAGAAAACGCTTTTGACCCTCATCGAAGCCTTGTACTTATCATTAGCCAAACTAAGACTGATTCTGAAGATTTGGTCACACATTACTAAATATAAATGTACAGTACAGTGGTACTTTGACTTACAATTGCCCCAACTTATGATTTTTCCAAATTATGAGCTGTCGCTCGGTTGAATTTTTCCTTTGAGTTGCGAGCCAAAATTCGAGTTACGAGCAAAAAAAAAAAATATTTACTGAAAATGACATTTGGCAAGAACCCCAGGGTAAATGGCAAAACGAAAGGTTTTTTTGGGACTTGGTCTTATAAAACATGCAGTTACATTGGAGGAAAATCATGTAATTACTCGTTATTCACAAAAAAATAAAGTTGCTAAATTTTTTTGACATTTGCAAAAATATCTTCCCCTTTCCCTCCCCACACAGATCCCCAAATTTTTGGGATTTTTTCCAATATTCCCAACCCCAATTGTAGAACAATCACTTTTTTATGATTCCTGTCTTTAATTGCTTTATTTTAAAAAATGGTGGCTTTATAAATAATTCAATAACTTAAAATTCCAAATATTCAATATCCTGACTATGATCTAGTGCATTAGTCTCTAAAAAAACCTTGTTTTTCTTACCCGGGACCAAAGAACACTTAAGGAAGAACGTAATAATTTTAATCCGGAGGGTCCTGGACACTTGCCATATTAGGGCCCTATTTTATTCATTCTAGAGTATTATCATTTTTTTGTAGTGGTTTTTTTTTTTTACATGGCCGTTTCCCCCCAAAAGGGCGGGGTGGCCTGAAAAAAAAATTTTCACCATCTTTTCCTCCATCACTGTCTTCCCAAAAGGGGTGCTTTACACTACAGTTTTTAAACGCAACATAACACCCTCCTTCAGAGTCGGGCCTGACTTCCCATCCCCAGGCTCAAGCCCGGGCCGCCGGTTTCCCTAACCCCTTCATAAAATGTTATTTTGCTCACACCCAACAGCACGTCAATTTTAAAAAAAACCATTTTTTCTCCTTCACTCCTATCAAACACCTCACGCATCCCTGCTGGAAGCCCAAGCCCCTCGCAACAAAAACCCTTTAAACCCCCCCCCCTCCAATTTTTCCCTGGCCGACCCCTACCCCCCCTTCCCCCACTACAATGATACCTTTTAAATTTTTTCGTTTCGCTCCATTCTTTTAAATGTCCGAACCCCCTCAAAAAACCCTTCCTCAGCCCTCTGGCAACGTTTGGTAATCCCGCACCTCCCCTAACCCCAAAACTACGAATTCTCTGCATTTATTCACACCACACATTGCCCTCAGACATACTCTCCACTCCCCAAACCCTTCTCCTCGTGCAACTTCATCACCCACTCACACCCTTTTAAAGACTTTGGAAAAAATTACTCCTCTTTTCCCCTTTTTCCCCTCCAAGACAAATTTCTTTGTCTCCACGACTCCAAAGTGCCCACTCACTCTTTTCCCCCTCTCAATTCTATGATTCCCTCATCTTTCATAGCCCCATCCGCTGACACTCCACTCCCAATTCTGAATACATTCACCCCCTCCATACTCTCTCCCCCCAATTGTTTTCAACTTTCATACCTAATCTTTTGTTATCCTCATAACCTTATTTTTTTCCCGTTTTTCACCTTTAATTTTCTTCT